AGAGGAGGGGGAGAGTACACATTTCTACTCTATATGCTTCAGCACTCATTTTAGATGAGCTATAGAGAGTTGAGGATAGCGGCTTGATTAGTGGAGTTCGATATTGTGAATAAGAGAGGTGTAGATTTAATTGAATGTATGTCGTTATTTACCTGGATAGATACTGCATACTACATATTAGGTACAAAGCCTTGAAAAGAAACAGTGCAGTTAGACAAATTGGTTCCACTTGGTACAGTTGACGGATAGTATATATCACCACATTCATCAATTATCTGATTATTAGAATAGGGAGAAACCAATGGCAGTGCTCTGGGAGTGTCGACAATCGTAGTTTTTACGGGATAATAAGGTGCAGTGTCACATTTCCAACCGGTACAATTTGTTCCTGAACAAGCAGAACAATTGCATGAGCAGTTTTTAAAACACAGTGGAAAACAACTACTACAACTGCTCTCTCTTGTTTGTCTAGAATAAATAATTCCTTCGTCTTCGCTTAATTTTTTGTATGTTCCAGAAACATGTTCATGATTTATATGCACTTCACTATCCAGCCGTTTTCGTCTACCATATCCTATTCTATATATTGACCATCGACAACGTACGTCGTCACTTGTGTAATATCCAACACAGATATTTGAATTTGAGTTCTTTTATTAACCATGACGTATTGTGGAGAAATTATACTCGCGACAGGCGGTGTATTAATAAAAACATCGGAACGTATGCGAAGATCGATGTAAGACACAATTGGCCATCCAAGACTCAAGTGTAAATAGAAATTTTGTTTGCTGTATGAAAGTGGAATAATGAATGCATAACCTATAAAGCTTTTGATATCTGTAAATATTCAGTATTCTCTACGTTAACAATATTGAAAAAATATTTTTTTGATCGTTTAGAATGTAGGCGTGATGATGAACTAGGACATTCATAAGTAGCTGAGAATGCTCAATTTTTTTGCATCCACACATTTAAGATTAAAATGAGTTTTTTCAAACCAACTTAACTGAATTCATTGTTAACAATTTTCATAATTTCTCTACATTGAGTTTACTCTGATTTTTCTCGTATTAAACATTCTTTCATATCAAAGATGATTGAGTGTTATTTTCTAAAGAATGTTGTTACTAACATTCATAAACTGATAATAGATCTTATCCCGACATTCAATTAACATGGAAAAAGTAAAATAGGGAAATCATTTTCAATTATGTCCACTATGCAGACAGATTGATGCATTCACATAAATATACCATTATCAATCAAAGCTATTCAATTTTGTTCTAGTACATTTAGATACGATCATTACTTATCAAGAATTCAATAATTTTCTTTCGAATAAATTGTAAAAAAACATGGAACTATTTACGCAAATTTTTTTTTATAGTAGTTCTTTATAGCTATTAATATCAAAGCAGAATATAAGTTTATCTGATTAACAATACGCCTCTTAAATCACACATTAGCATACATGTTTGACAATATTGGAATAATCATGTGTGCGACAAATAGTAGTACTGTGGAAAGTATAGTCTAACATGATGTAGGGATCGGAAAAATATAAGCCTTCTAAAGAAAAATGATTATCACTATTTTGCATTTGTATACAAGTTCTTGTTTGCATTTTCACAGCTGTTATAGAAAAAAAACGTCGCTATTTCTTATGAATAATTAAAAAATTGTTAGGTGTATAATGTTGTAGACTAATATCAATATTAATTTGCGAAAATTTAGAACATAGGTGCTTCAATTAATTCTATTAGCTGTATTACTCGTCTCTTTTATAAATAATAGTGATTGCTTTTTTCATATTAATATAGTCTAACTTTGAAAGAGTATTTGAACCAAAGTTATGATATAACTTTTAAGTATATCAATTAATTCGAATCAGAATAGAAGTATTCTTCCGAAGGTTGAAAAATGAAATTTAAGAGAACATAATAAATCTTTGTGGATACAGAACACCAAATTCATAACTCAAAATTTATTTCAAATTGCAGCATTTTACTTTCTTCATTTCTGAAAATAGTTGAAGGTTTTTTTCACCATTCATTTTTACCAAACATCAGTATAGGACATTTTTTTTTCTCAAGCTGTTCTTTCTGAAAAAGCTAGAGCAACAAGTTCATCATGTTAGTGGCAGTTTTTAATATATTCGAGCTTTATCAGTTATACTTACAAAATTGTTGCATTAATGAGATATTATTTTATTTCTCTGTAAAAATTCATTATCAAACGCTTAGTTTTTCTACTACGAAGTTCACTATCTGAAGAATCAAAAATAGTTACTAATAAATTACAAAAAACTTTTATAATGAGAAAATTTTCTGATCTTTCTAAAATGATCTAACAGCATTCGCAAATACCCAGTCGATGTTGTTTGCTATGCGTTAAGAGAATTATATTTGTCTTAACAAATTTGTTAGATTTTCTCTTTCTAATGCATTTCAGCCTCCAGTAGTATACAGTAAAATCTTCCCAATGTCAGTATCATCGAGAGTAGCTAAAACTGCGCATTTTACGCAGATGCTCATTATTAGAAAGTTTTCAGTTTCTTTTTTGCACTCTATACGTATTCTATTGTTATTGCTCGTCGACTGCACAAGATAATCTTTTTCTTCGTTCGAAATTTTTTAATCCGATATAAATCAACACATGCTCATATGAGTTGATATTGATAGCTTTTAACACAAAAAAAAAACCACGAGACGTTATATCGAGCTCCGATGATTGTTTATTATAATATAATTTTGTCTTCGCTCTGCACGTGACTAATAGAGCGTACTGTGCTCATATTAGCAAGGTAGTTATTGCTCACTCTTCGCAATAAGGAGCTGCTCCATATATTCGGAAGGCTCATTTTCCGCAAAACTCACTTGGAAGAACTATGAATTGCTCATTATAAAGAGATTTTACTGTAACGACTTTTGCATATATTAATGTATTAGTTTCAAACTTTTAGTTTTATTTACAGTTAGTGATATAATCAAAAAATCGTTTCTACATATTGACTTCAACCCATTAATAACAAGGTAATTAATCATCATTCATACTGCCAAAATGTATATGTATATAGTTGATCAATATAACATAATTAGTGATTATGAACAAGCTATTAAATATTTAAAATAGGCATTCATAACTGAATTGTATAGAAATATTGATAATACCAACACTTGAACAAAATTTTATCATACGAAATCAATCGATAATGTAGACATTAATAATTAATTAAATTTCTTAACTAATGTCTCAATTATTCTATTATTCTACAGTCACTGAAAGGCATCATAGAATCGAAAAGTTTTTTCATCAATTCACCTGAAAGAAAAATGACTAAATTTTCATTAAATGTCTATCTAACTACTGAACAAATATGATATATTTCAATCTCAAATAAGGTATATCAAATAAAAAGACAATTTTTTATTTGAATTATTAAAAAAAAACCAGGTGTTGTTTTTTTTGTTTTGATTGCATCGAGTAATTATGACTGAATGCGATTCATGATTTTCACTAACCAAAAGGAAAAAAAGAAATTGTATTCAATAATTAACAAATGAAGAAAAAGCAACGGAGCGTAAAGAAATATTTATACTGGCACATAGACACAATTATTTTCATTACGAACATGTATGCTTATAGTTTTTTATTTTCTACTTTGTTTATTTTATCGTTTTTTCAATATGTAAATTCGTGTGAAAATTTTCTTGTTCAACATTGTACTGATATACCAATTGGATTCAAATCTATATCAACAATTAAATGTATTCAACTCATTCCTATTCAATCTGATCCATCATTTATTTATTCAGTAGAAAATTATATTATCTCGAAAGTTAATAAATGTTATAATATTGCCTCATATAAATCTTCACAAACAATACTTTTTTCTAATGAATGTCGTGAAATATGTCAAGAAGAGTATTGTCTTCTTTTTGATAAACAATCTAATAAATCAATTATTAATATATTTTATTCACAATCATTAAACTATGAAGAAATTAATTCTATAACAAATAATATATTATCTTATGATTATTTCTTATTTGATAAATGTAGTACAACAAATCTTACTGATAAAATCTTATTTATTGTTACTTTTGTACTTGTCGCTATTATTGTTATATTAACAATAGCAGTTGTTTTGAAGTATTATGTTAGTTACAGATTAAGAAAAGATCCAAGTTATGATCCATATGCTTGGCGATGGATAATTGACTGTCTTTTATGTCGAATTCGTCAAGAAAGAAAACTTGAAACAAATTCAAGTATGGTAGAAGGTTATAGTCCATCAGGAATTGATGAAGATCTATCTTTTTCAAAAAACAATCTTATTATATCACTGCCACTACATACAATAATTCATGATCCTACGAATAATAGTCAGGAACAACGAAATAATCAAAGTCACACGAGTCGTTACAGTTCTAATCAACAGTTTTCTGGTTTTTCATATAAAAGTAGTAGTCAAGACCAGCCTGAAGCCGATAGTACAGAATATCGTGGTTTTTACAATGATTTAGATGATAATAATGTTCCATATACCATTGAAAATCATAATCATATGCCATTACCACATCAGTCTCTGCTTCGTAAATTATCATCTGAAGTTCATAATACGTTAGCGTTAAAATTAAATGCAACTGGATACGAGGAATTAGAAGAAAAACTATCCCCACCATTGATATTTAGATTATGAGAAATTCTTTTTTTCTATGTATATATATGTAGCTTATATCATATAAATCTTGTTAATTTCTATATTTAAAAAATAAAGTAAATATGCCATTGGATAAGGACAACATACACATACTTATCATCTTATTACAGTAAAACCTCTGTCAGTGAACATTCTGTTATATGGGACTTTTTTTGGTGCTACTAAGCAAATTTTTCTGGTTTTATACCCTTCGTTTATGAACACATCTTGATTTTGAATGTGAACATCAATTGAATAAATTATATAAGTAAACGTGTGGAGATGATTATCAAGAAATAAATTAGTTTCATGATTTAATTCAATGAAATCGAAAAAAAGAAAAAGAATGAACAAAATATATTGTTGCCTTTCTGAGCAGCTTCTAAACCTGCCTATAAGATATAATATCTCACAGTGCCCTAAATTTGAAGCACAAAAATGAATTTAATCTAAGATAAAGAACGTAGTTTATCTTCTCATGAATTAAGAGATAGATTTCAAGTGTTTATTGGTGTTATGTCAAAAATTCGTAAAAACAAAAATCAATATGTTATCGATTTTGAAACTCATTTAAACAAAACGGTGGAACACAGAGTGAATCATGATTTTAGTCAAACCAATAATGATAGTGTTTAAACTTCCCATGCGATGAAAACTATTACAAAATCAGTGATTTGATTGGCCATCCACTTTAGAACTTATCTGTGTTCTTTTGGTCACAACTGGTAAATCAGTTCTTGTACTATTAGCTCCTGTCAACTCAGAACACAACATATATTAAACATAAATATCATCTTGACTACGAAATTTTGATTGTCTTAGACATCATCTGAGAACTGTATGAATAACGAACTCTAAAAATATACTTTCGTAGTGACAACTATTTTTGTTTTAGTTTTCGTGTTCATTTTACTATCAAATGAGCACAAATATAACTTATATGCTGAATTAGGCTATCCCAGATTAATGATCCCAGCGTATGAATCTGCGTATTTCCAATCAAATTCGACTGAATGTCATTCACCTAGAATCAAATATTTTTGAATCTATGAAAAACGAGAAAATAGTATTCTTCGTAGTTAACGCAGAGGTTTTCTGTTTCTACGTGCGTCTGACCGATCATTATAAACGGTTAATTGCGGTTTACTGCCGATTTTTTACACATACCCTCATAGGTAGCGGAGTCACGATGCTTAGGTAGGCTTAATCATTTGTATCTCCGTCGATCAGTTTTATAGATTTACGAAATGCATCGAAACTCTTAAACAAACATTAACATTTTTCAACACCTCTCGCAACAGATCGGGATATTTTCGTATTGAAACAAACTTGGAAAACATTCAATTTTGTATGACTAAATGTTGGTCTCTACATTGCCAATGATGTTAAGTAGTAATCCCTTGTAACAAGTGAAGGAGAACAGCACCGAAAATTCGAGTCAAATAAACTAAAAGTTGCAGAAAGTTTTCTTCGCCTTCAGAGGTTAAGCTTACATTTCTTAGAATTATTTTCAACAAAATGAATAAACCCATAATATGGGTTCTTTTCTTCTGGGAACATTGCTGCTTAACCATTATTTTATTTTTTTAGAAAAGTAGATCGAAAACTTTTCTTTTGCAAGTCGAAATCAGAAAAAGACAAATGTTGTCGTGTTTATTTTAGTGCATGTCTTTTGACGTAAATTACAATTTTTTCTGAACCATATCAATTTTATAAAGTCCAAAATGTGAGATGGCAATGAGAATCCAATAAAGAATGCTGAGTGTATTCTAGATTCAAAAGCTCCACAATCCTAGGCGAAAATAGCAGACTTCAAATAGCTTCAAAAAACTTCCTGAAACGTCAATGAACTTCGTTTGACTGCAAAAGAGTTCCAGATTTCAAAATAAACTAAAAGATATAACTTAAAGACTTCATGAGATTTCAAAAGAATTTCAGACTGAAGTGTCTGCTATTTCCTCCTCATCACCACATATGCACACCGCTGCTTATCACTAAAACTAATCTGGTATTTGCAATGTGAGATTATAAGGCAGGATCTGAACGTCGTTTTTGAAATTCATCTAGTTAACAAGCTTAAAGTAACTTACTAAAAGTCAAAAACTATTTAATGAAATAATAAAAAGTACCTAATAGTAGACAGAAAGTGATAAAACTAATACATTGATTTATATTTGTTTAGCCTCTTTCTTTATGAACATCCTATTCGACTGAACGATTTTCCTCGATTGCGACTGTGTTCACAATGTAGAGGCTTGGCTACATAGAGTAGAAATTTGCATCTCCGCCGCAGACCTTGACAGACATTTTTTATAAACGATCAAATACCGTACATCAGTAACATCTCGTTATACTTAGTTAAATTATATTCACGGTAACTTATCTTAGATAGATAATAGGCTGATCTTTGCACATATGAATTGTCTGAAAAAGTTATTTCAAAAATAAACTAGACATCTGAAAAAGATTGTCAGATAAGTTATGTCAAACACAATAGGCATCAATCACTTGCTTAAGATGGATTCATATCATCAAGACTCGAGTGCAATACTCTTGAAATGCATGACAGACAAGCATGCGAAAGGTTTCTCTATAGACGAAATAATGCATTACAGTTACAAAAAATATTATAGCAAATCAAATTATAATAATGTCCATATGTAAAATTTTGTTGATGAATTGTCAATGAAAATTTATTCCACATGAATTTAAATAGAAAAAATCAAAATCATTTAAGTTCTTTCTATCAGAAATCTAAGTTATTGTTTATAAACTTTATTTTATCTACCAAAACATACTCTTGATTTATTTTTTATATTCAACCTTGGAATAAATTGAATTATATTTACGATAAAGATGTATAGACAAAAAAGAAAACGACTTTTTGCTTTTTGCATTTAATCGAATGATTTGTTTTTTCATGTCTTCTCGATTAAAAACTTTAAATTCAGTTTTTGTGTATTAAGCGCCAATCATTTTCATTTTTCTTTTTACTATTCTAATGAAATCAGAAGAGTATTGATGAGTATTCTCTGTAATACAAGACATTCTTTTCTTCGATTCTCATTTATTTAAATAGCCTTGAAAATACGATAAGAAATGAAAAATTTCTCTTGTTTCAAACGACAGCAACATCAAAAGTAATCAAACTTGAATTTCATTCATTACTATAACATGTTAAGACATCTCTGTCAAATACATCAAAAAATTCAAAAGCATGCTCTTAATCGATATATAAATTCTATGGTTTCATATATGAATAATATTTGTAGAATAATTTTTTTTCTCGTTGTTAAAGCAACAGTTTTACAATTCTATTCACATTTACTTTTAACCACTACAAAACTATTCAAACTATCATCAATTGACATTACACTTTACTGTTCTATATACTTTGATCTGTTTGGTAGTTTTTTTCTTGTTTCTTATCACAGAATCAACATACATAAATAGAAAAAAAAAAGAAAAAAAAAAAGGAACTGTTTCTATGCTGATTTTATCATTTTAATATCGTATACAATTCGAAAATGGTAAAAAAGAAGAAGCAAAATTTGCTGAATGTAATATTCCTATAATAAGAATTTGTTTGTATTTTTAGCCACCAAAAAAAGATAAAGAACATGCTGCGAAGAAACCCATCAATAACATCTCATTATAATATATAAGCTACTTCCTTATTGCATTTCTAAAGTATTAAATAAAAGGAACTTGAAGAAATGTGTCCTAAAA